CAACTGAAATTGCACAAGGCCGTTAGACGAGCCAAACATGTGACGTCGGCCGTCCACCGCTAACTGGTCGGCCTCGGTGACTGAACTCGAACTGTCGCTACGTTCGCGGGTTCCTGGGAGGTCTAACGACGGAGCGGAGGTGTACGCGCAAATAGCTGAGACCTCGCGGCTCAGTAGGTGGTAACGGAACGCGTAGCTGTCGCAATTTTGGTGAACTCTTGGGAGCTCCAGCAGAGTGGAGGTGGACGTGCAGTCCCAGGCCGACGTCGACCAGACATGTGACAAAGCGCTGGTCCACCGCCTCTTTTGAAGATGGTGGCCTTGCTGGTGAGGCGGTGGAGCTGCATCCGGTCTCGGACCATGGCGTCATGCCGGTCTCGTGAAGATGCGGCCTCTGTAGGCTTGTTGGTTGAGCATCGTCTCTGCGCTGCGCATGGAGGCTCGCCAGGAGGCGTTGGAGCTCCCGACGTCGACGCAAAAAGCTTTGCTTTTGCACACGGGTGAGCTGCGACGTGCCGATATGGAGGGCTTCATTCCGCTATCGTCGCGGCCGATTGCTCGTGGTCACGATGGAGCACTACTGACGGCTGTTGTTAGTCTCTCTGGCCTTTCTTCCGCCTTGTATGGTTGCGCCTTGTGTGGCTTCGCATTGTCGTATGATTCCTTTCGCTTTCCCTCTAGACGAAGATTTGTAGCATTATCACCTCTCGCCCCCTTCAATGATGGCCGGTTGACCCTTCCACATGATTGTTGCGGGTGGGCGCCGGCACGGGTGAAGACAGCTACAGAGTTCTTTCTTCGGCACAGAGCAATGAATCGCTCGTTTCACGCTAATCGAGCGGGTTGGTAAGCGTGTTTTTTGGAGAATCGTGGCCGTTGGCTTCATTATGTTGTAGGAGTCTTGTAAGACTCCGCGACAGTCTATGTTTACACGGTTTCTCAAAAAATCACTAACTCTTTCACCATAGGCAGTACAGTTCGGGCAGCTAAGCAGCAAAGAAGGATTCTAGTCGGGTAAACGGCCAGCTGGATCTAATGTGGTGAGAAGTTGTCTTCATCTCCGTTGGCATGGTGACCTTCAGCCGAGCACGCTTCCTGTAAGACGTCAACGCCGGGCGCCCAGCCAATACCCTCGTTTCATCTACACCATTGGGTACCATTCACGGTTGTTTCATGGTGGAAACGATTGATTTGTTTGTCTTGTTCTCACCCATTGACTGGATTTGAGGACGTTGGTTCCGAGGGGGTTCATGTTGTCTTGGAACATAGCGTCGTTTCTTACATCCTTCTCGTATGCCACTGCGGCACAGGTGGCGCTTGCCGACGAGAACTCAATCGCGCGATTCAGGTTGATAGCATTATGATGGAATCCCCCGTGCGTGTAAACAGGCATTATGCCAGGGTGTTGGCACGCGAGTTTACCAACTGAAGTCTTGAGCTCTGAGGCGCCACGTTTCCTCTTCCTCCTGCTCCTGATAATGCTCTGCTGCTGATCCTATGTCTGCTGCCCCGCTCACTGTGGTCATGGTCCCTCCCCTCCGTCCTCTCGTCATCCTCGTCCACCCTTCTACTCTCTTCCCATCGGGCGCAAAGAGACCCAGGATCGTTGGATCCAAGAGCCTAGAAAGCCTCAAAGGCACTGGGGTGAGCGGAAGCGGGAGGGAGAGGGAGGCGAACGCTAGAGGCGGAGGAGAGGAGGAGGCGGAGAATAGGGAAGGACGAGGACAGGGAGGAGGGGAAGGAGTTGGAGGAAATGCGGACGGGGAGAAGGAGGAGGAGACCGAGACAACGGCTCGACAGGGGTCTGCTGTCTTCAACGTGCTGTTCGTTATCGGCCTCTGCGGCTGGGTCGCGCCCACTGCCATGGAACTGTCGTGGTGCCGATCCCGCCGCCACGCCACTCAATGCCTGTCAGGAGTACCAAGTTCTGCCAACGGTTCTCGAGGATCGAGGAGGGAGGTTCCTCAGTATTCTTGACATGTGTTTGGGCATTTTTGCTATTGGACTCTGGAGACCTCGGGAGGCCACTGGGGCATCTGGGGACATGAATTGACTTCTGGGGGCGTCCAGGTCAGGATCGGTCCCTGTCGAGGTTGTGCGCACAAGCATGTACAACGTTTGGCAGCACCAGCTTTGCTTTGTCCATGGTCCGCCCACATCACTCATCCATGGGAAGTCGTTGCAAGCCTCGCGCTCAATGAACGCAATGCAACCACCCACGCCTCTACAGCACAGCAGCCTGCGCCCAACACGTATGCTCACTCTTCGAAATATTACATTCAGGTTGCCCCATGTAATCCTTCTGAGCATCATCTGTGATACACGTGCGTCCGAACTCGCCAGCATGCTGATCACGCGTTACCTCGCTCAATTTTCTAGGTCATCTAACTATCACAACTTTTCAGAACATTAACTCGTCTATGTGTTTCAGGTCACCTCTGTTCCGACTGCTTCAAAACCGCCAACTACCATAAATCGCATGATGGTTGTATCGTTCATTGCTCCTACATGTTCAAAGTATCATAACGCGCCTCTCTGTCACATGCATGTAAACTCGCTGAATATTGCCAACTCGAAAGTTCTCGAAATGCCCCAACTGATATACTTAAGATGGATTACAACCTCTTCGGGCCATGCTTGATTCCTGCCCAATCATCTCACAGTCTGTCTAGCGACTGTCGGCTCATCGCACCACCATGTCTAGATCATGGTTCGACGCTGATGGGAGGCTTCTTGGAGTACATTGGAAGGTCTCTTGTGGTTTCTTGGATCCTTGGGGCCTCTTGCCCTTCAGGTGCTTTCTGGGTACCTCTCGGACGGCCTTTGGGGGCCTCTTGGGCGCTTCTTGGGGCCTTGGAGGCAGTCTGGGGGGCCATCTTACGGTGGAATGCCCCAAAGGCTCCTTCGAGGTCCCATTATTGTGAGCTTCTTGGGTCATTCTTGGGGGCTTGGGGTCCGTCGCGGAGGATCGGGGCGATGTTTGGGACTTCTTGAGTCGGCTTGGGCTGGCCCCCAGGGCATCCAACACAGCCACAGACATCCCCAAGAGAGCCCCAGGACGGCCCCATGGGGCCATCTTAGGACAAGCTGGAAGTTTGAATTCCGAACTTGGCCCCCGAGGCCTCGGGAAAGCCAGGAGTCTTGGAATGTTTGTTTGGGCACAGGCCGACTAAGATCCGACGAAGGCATCTATACACCACCACCGTGCCAGGCCAGTGCCATCCTGGGTTCCAGGATGGTGTATAGACCCTCCTGGCCTCGGCCAGGATGGCGTATACACCATGCCAGGGCCAAGATGGCCCTGGCCTGGCACAGTGGTGGTGTATAGATACCTTCTGCGTATAAGAGTTGTTCACAACGTTCGATGCTGAGAAACCCGAAGACACCCAGGGACACTCCACCTCATGCTTGGCAGCAGGGTGGCGGTCCCGACCACAGGACGACTACGACACGACCAAGGGACAACGACGCAATGACCACAAAACAGCTCCGAGGCAACCACGACACGACGAAGAGCACCCGGCGAACGGGACAGCCGCGCACAGCTGTGGGACAGACGTGGGACAGCCGCGGGACCACGCTGGGGGACGCGCGGCGGGCCGAGGGTCGGCCACACGAAGGACACGAGAGAACGTCGATGGGGCGGAAACTCGGGCAGTTATCCCGGCGCTTGGAGTCAAAACTGTGTACAGCTTTCGTTGCGTTGCTGAATTGGAGAAAAAAAAACAAACAACAAAAAAAAAAAAAAACGAAGGACACGAGAGAAGGACCGGAGGCGCCCGCGGTGGCCCAGGTGGAGCAAGCTGGCAAGGGACGTGCTCACTGCGATGGGAGGAGGACCTCGCGCAGCTTGGCCTCGCCCGCGCGCACGGCACGAGCCGAATGCCGATTTTCCAATAGAGGGTTCTCCGTTGCCTCCGATGGTTCACACATCGATGCACATCTATGTATTTATACACGTACAAGACCCTTCTTCGGTTGATAAGGATGTTGTGGGGCCTTTGGTGCAGTCTTCGCTTTGCGATTGGCGTCGAATCGGATTCGCGATCTATCGATCCAACGGCCGCTATATCTACCTATTGATATCCATCAGTGTGGGTCTGGCTATCGATCAATCGATGCCCACAACAAAACATGAACCGGTCGCACTGTCTATACAGCCGTATTGTTTTTCAGCATCAATACGTACTGTATACCCACTACTTCTTCATCGGTCTCACGTTTTATAGATTTGCTCACGGACGGGGCAGCCATGCGACAACCACAGGACAACCGCGCCACGCGCCAACCACGGGACAACCACTGGACAATCACGAGACAGCCATGGGAGTACCACGGGACACCCACGGATTACCATGGGACAACCACGGGACAATCATGGGACAACTACGGATCAATGACAGGATATGCACGGGTCAACCACAGAACCTCTGCGGGACAGTCGCGGGACAAATACGGGAGTCCGATTTAATTATTTGTTCTGAGTTTCGCGACCGATCGACCAATACCACGGTCACATTATCGACCAGACTCATTTTACATATACGTACATGTATGCATACAGATAGTTCTCATTAGCTTTTTGTCGATATGACTATCTAAATGTCTATCTGCCTCACTACTTAATCATCGGTCTCACCGTTCACCTACAGACGGGACAACCGCAGGACAACCACTGGATAACCACGCACAACCACAGGACAACCACGGGACAACCATTGCACAGCCATTGGACAATCATTGGACAACCACGGGACAACCACGGGACGGCCACGGAACAACCGTGGGACAGCCATGGGACAAGAATCGGACACCCACAGGACAGGCGCGGAACAACTTGGGGATCGCCCCAGATGAGCGCGATTAGTTGTGACTCGACACGAGCCCAGAGAGAAATTGTTCACTTCCTCGCGCAGCTTCGCCTCGCACCCACGACGAAGCGACACCGAAACCGATTTCTCGAGCGGGGCATCCTTTCACTTCGGTGTCAGCCCCCCACACACACACCACCTCCAATATATATATATATATAGAGAGAGAGAGAGAGAGAAATCGATCGATCGATGTGCAAATATATATATATATATATATATACACACAGATGTTGTACGTGTATGTATAGAGGGAGAGAGATAACGAGAGAGAGAGAGGGAAAAAAAGAGGCAGAGAGTCACGAGTACATACAGAGAGAGAGAGAGAGAGACATAAAGGCAGACAGGCATACAGACAGATAGGCAACAGAGCGAGTGGGAGTGCCCACACACATGGGAGATAAGTAGCGTTTGAGACCAGTGTGGCCAGAGGGCTGGAAAAGTGTTTCAAGCACAGGCAATGATGACAGCGGCAGGCAATGATGACAGCGGCGTGGTGGTGGTAGAAAATGGTGATGAGAGGGGTTGGTGGGAGACGGTGTTTTTGAATGTACAGGTGCAGCCCGAGTGCTGCAGATGCAGAGCGGACAGTGGTAGGAAAAAAGAATGGTTGGGGGAGGTGGCCACTCTTCCGGGATTGCACGTATTATTGTTGCGGTGGGAAGTCGCCGCATTTCGGGCAGAGCAGAAACGAGAATGCGGAGCGAGCAATGGAATGCCACAACCAATTTACGGAGTCATGAAAGCACCATGTGCATTCGATATTGGTTGCGCAAGAGAGCTTCCAAGAGCAGTGTCGAGCTCATTGGCCTAACGTGCCTAAGCACCGCGAGAAGAAAGGGGACTAAGAAAAGGCAGAGAACGAGAAAGTAGCAACGATCAGGGAAGAGGATGTGTAATGAGGTGGAGCCGTGGGATGAGTGTTACGAGTACCACACACGCAGGGAGGAAGGTCGAGAGCAGCGCTCACAGAATGGATGGTGCGAAAAGTATGAGGGCGGTGCTTCGTTCAGCAAGGGTAGCTCGAGCGCGCAAAACTGTTCTTGGGGTTGGAGGCCTGTCCTTGCTGGCCTACTGTGCCTCCGACGGAAAGATACAGTTGATAGAGGACGCCCCTCTTTTGGCAGAAGAATGGCACAATCCGACACATTGTTAGTCAGGTCGGGCGGGGTGTGGGGGCTTCATCCTTCGCATGGTCAGATTTAACGGCAGCGCGCTTTGAGACCTGCGATTGGGCGCGAGGGTTCCGCGAAACGAAATCCAAGCCAGCTTGGGCCCATCTATCTACATGTATGCGTTGGGCAGTGCGGACTCAAAACAGTAAGTTCGTGCATTGTGGATGTGTCGGTGATTTGAAGAATTCTACTTGGTGCACGCTATGTGGTGGAAGTTCATGGTGCAAGTTCGACGGATCCCCCAAGTGCAGTGGTCAGCAACGAGGCGGCAACGGGCGGCGACGCGGCGAAACCTCGACGGACCCCCCAATTAGGCGGTAACGAGGCAGCAACGGGCGGCGACGCGGCGAAACCTCGACGGACCCATCCAAGTGGGCGGCAACGACGCGACAACGGGTGGCGATGCGGCGAGGTGCTTCAATCTAGGTTGTGCAACTTATGGTACAATACAGGTTATGCAGTCTGCCGGGTGCAATATATGTGCAATCTATGTGCTGCTATTTTTGTGGTCCAATATATGTGGTGCAGTCCACGTGCTGCAATCTAGGTTGTGCAATCTACGTGGTGCAATATATGTTGTGCAGTCTACATGGTGCAATATGTGTGGTGCAATTAATTGCTGTTCGCAGTGAGATGTCCATTCCACGGCTCGCGCAATCATCCCACCCACCCACCCGCAACCTGGTTTGCGAAACACATGCGGCGGCGATTGCGGTGAGTGTTTGGAGTGAACTAATACATTTCTGCCGCCGCGCTAGCCGGCGCGTGCTCGCGCGCGCGGTGGCCAGCTAGTTTGGCGCGACGTCCGACACGGCCGCGGTGACGCTGACCGCCGGGCACTTCCCATGGGGGGCACTTCAGTGCGAGTCGGCGACTTGGGCGGGCGAGGCATCACGGCAACGTCGACACCGGTAGACGCGATGATGATGGTAGCGATGCGGGTAACGATGGTGGCAACGACGACGGCAAGGGCAGTGGCGGCACTGATGTTGACCACGCCGACGACAATGACGGCGTCTTCGCGTCGGTGATGAAGGTTTTGGAGGGGGTTCGACATGCGCGCGCGGCCCACGCGCGAGAATGGCCCGCATTGTGTTATTTGACACGGATCGCGCCCCCCCACCCCCCCAGCACGCGCGCAAGGGCATTCGAATGATTTCGACGCGCGACGCGGGGATACCGTTTAGCCAGATGGAATGAAAATGTTGAGAATTTACGGATTTCTGAATTCGCAGGAGCGCGAGCGCAGGCATTTTTCAAAAAAATGAGGTTGCAAAACCATGTGTTGTTATGTTTTCGGGGCACTCGAGTTTGAAACCTTTGCGAAATGTGAGGTTGTTGAAGGAGTTTGGCATGCGCGCGTGACGACGTGCGCGTGCGCACTTCGTCCCATGTGTTGCAAGCGGTTCTTGCGACAGCACGCGCGAGGGGCCCGCTTGGTAGAAACGTATGGAATTGCGAATACAAAACTCACAGTTTCCGTAAATATTCGCAAGAGCCCGAGCGCAAGTTTGTTTGAAGTCCGGGTTGCGAAGCCATTTGTTTTTACACGTTTTCGGGACAGCCGGTTTTGAATGTTTTGCGACATCTGCGGTTTTGTGTCAAGGATTTCGGCATGCGCGCGCGACGGCGCGCGCGTGTGCACTTCCTTCCATGCGTTACAAGGGGCTGCTGAATGTTGGTGATGTTTGATAAACGAGCGCGCGCACATAACTTGCCGCAAGGGATGAAAGGGGGTATACCGGCCTGCCTGGGACGATGCGATGATACGAGTTCGTATTTAGGATGGACGACGGTGCTGAATCGTATCTAAATTGCAATACGAACGAGGGAATCGTTCATTCTGGGGGGGGGTCGATCCTGATATTTTTCGAGGAAGCACACTACGTGTTGCAATCCAGGCAGTGTAATCTGCGTTGTGCAATTCACGTTGTGCAAATCACTTTGGCTGTCTAGAAGTTGCCCCCTCCACTGTTCGTGCGAATACCCCACCCTCCCACCCGTAACTTGGTCGCAAGACCTCCTAAGACCGTGACGGTAGGTACCAAATTGCACTTGGCAACGACACCGACGACGACAGCGACAACGACGACGACGACGACGCCGACAACGAATACGACGACGCCGACGGCGGCTCCAACGCCTTCGACGACGACGACGACGACGACGATGACGACAACGACGACGACACCAACGACGACGACGACGACGACGACGACGACGACGACGACGACGACGGCGACGACGCCGACGACGACGACGACGATGACAACGCCGACGACGACAACGACGACGCCGACGACGACGACGACGACGACGCCGACGACGACAACGACGATGATGACGACGACGACGAACGCGACGACGACGTCGACGACGTCGCCAACAAAGACGACGACGACCACGAGGGAGGAGGGAGGACGACGACGGCGACAACGACGACAACGACGAGAAAGGAAAACAAACGACAACAACGCGAACGACGAAAAAGAACGGAGGACGGCGACGCCGACGACGACAACAACGCGGGAGGAAGGAAGACAACGACGACGACGCCGACGAAATAGGATGGACGACGACGAAACGCCGACGACGGACGACGACGACGACGAGGGAGGAGGAAGGACGACCACGGCAACAACGACAACAACAACAACGCCAAAAAAACAACGACGACGACGACGAGGAAAGACAGAGGACGACGACGGCGATGACGACGACGACAACGATGACGACGAGGGAGGAGGCAGGACGGCGACGACGACGACGACGACGACGACAACGCAACAGCGCGCGCGCACGCTTTTGTTGAAAATCCGCGTTGCGAAACCCTGTGTTTTTGTATGTTTTTCGAATACTCGATTTTGAAATCCCTCCGAAGATGAAGGTTTTTGAAGGATTTCGGCATGCGCTCGCGACGACGCGCGCGCGCGTGCACTTCGTCAATTTGTTGCGAAGGATTCTCGCGACGGCACGCGCGCAAGGACGTTCGAAAGATTTCGACATGCGCGCGCGCGAAGCCCGTTTGGCAGCATGCTTTTTATCTTGGAAAGCCGATGGCTTTTCTCAAGAATTCGCAAGTGCGCGCGCGTAAGCTTTTGTAGAACATCAGTGTTGTGAAACCCTGTGTTTTTGTGCGTGCTTTGGAAACTCGATGTTGAAATCCTTCCGAAACCTAAAGTTGTTTGAAGGATTTCGGCATGCGCGCGCGACGACGCGCGCGTGTGCACTTCGTCCCATCTTCTGCAAGGGAGTATTGAAAATTTGTGATTTGTGATAAACCACTGTGCGCGCATAGTAGGTTTTGCAGAGGATGGCGGGGGGAACCGATACCGGTTTGACCAGGATACTATGAATTCACAGGTGGGATGGACATTGGGTCAGAATTTTATGTGTTGTGCATAGGTTCCGGGGGGGTCTTTAAGTCCGGGGGGGGAGGGTGGAAGAACCTATTTTTTAAACGATACCAGAGAAAAACCTAATCTTTTCGTGGCTGTTGGGCTACAGGGCTATATGGGCTCTTGGGCGCTATATGGGCTATTTGGCTATATGGGTTATAGGGCGATAGGGCTATAGTCCGAGAGGGATATAGGGCTATAAGGCTATAGGGCTACAGGGCACCGGGCACCCGGGCACCCGGCAGCCGGCACCCGGAACCCCACCCGGGCACCCGGGCACCCGGGCACCCGGGCACCCGGGCACCCGGGCACCCAGGCATCCGGGCACCCGGGCCCGGCCACCGAATCGGCGGCGAACCCGGGCACCCAGGCACCCGGGCACCCGGGCCAGGCCACCGAATCGGCGGCGAACCCGGCACCCGGGCACCCGGGCACCCGGGCACCACCCGGGCCCGGCCACCGAATCGGCGGCAAACCTCATTTACCCTCAAATCCGCTAGGGCCCCTACAGAGGCAAGCTCTGATTGGGGAACAAAGGAGGATCGAACGGCGGCGACGACTGGCGACGGCGATGACGGGGCGGCGACGGCGGCCACATAGCCGCCAGACCGAAGACACGGCCCAGACAACGGGCGGCGACGAGACGGCGACGGGTCGGCGACGGCGGCCACGCAGCCGCCAGACCGAAGACACGGCCCAGACGACTGGCGGCGACGAGGCGGCGACGGCAGCCACATAGCCGCCAGACCCAAGGCACGGCCCCGTTCCCTGGAACAGAAGTAAGGACCCGTGCGTGCAAGCATTGTTTGTCGACGGTATATACATCTGTATTTAAACAGACACATAGGGAGAGAGAGAGAGAGAGAGGACACATGGCCGTTGCTCCTGAATGTTGCGCTCCGCACTGACGACTGCTGAGCGCATCGGCAACGTGACTGTTGCACCCGAGCCTGTCGTCTCCACATCCCCCGCTCCGACTGAACGCTCGGAAACATGGCCGGCATTGTGGGGTTCAGTGTTTGTCTGGTCATGCCTGCACGGATGCATGGCTCTTCTTCAAGGTATGGGTTATGTCGCAAGGCTGTTCGTTTGTGGTGGCATTATCAATAGCCGGCACTGCGCTGTGTGTAGTTCCCCCAGCGGGTACAGCCAGCAAGTTCTGCAAGTACAGGCACAACGCTTGTGCCGACGTGCCGCGAGCGGATGCCTCGTGCGACGAACCGAGGTGCAGACGAAGCGGCAGTGCAACAGAGCGTCGCGAAGAAAAGGAAAGCAGTCGAGAGGTCTTTGCTCGGAGCACGCAGGGTGGGACGACGCGCGAGCTTGGATTCACAACAAGCGTGCCTACAGCCGGACCGAGGCACAAGATCGAGGTCGGTTCGGGGAGGGTGCCCTCGTGTTCTTCGTGTTTGTTGGACGTTCTTGCGCACCCTGGGGAGGGGACCCTTGGATGCTCTGCATTGTTTTGGCCGGCGGAAGATCGAAGATCTCGTGTTCTTGGGAGATGTTCTTCTGTCCTAGGTTCGACTGTACATGCCCGCACGCCGAAGGCTGTATCCTTATTCGCCGCGTATTTGGTTTACATCACCATTATGTACTACAACTCAAAGTTGGAGGCCAGCGGTGCTCTCTGGCTGGTCATTCGTCGCGCTTTCTCCCGGCCTGCTTCATCTGACAGTCAACGCGCCTGGTAAGGACACGCGCTTTCATCTAGGATACCCCGTCCTGTGCCGTTTTCACTGGTCGCCCGCCGCCCAAAAAATCCCAAATTCGGCCTCCAAGGGTCTTGCGTCCTGGACACCCGTCCTTAATACACGTTTTGATTGTATTCGGAGTTGTGATCGGCTCTATCACGCTATGAGTTTGTCGGCTGCGTTGTTGACCTCGGTTCTTGCGCAATCAGCTTGAGCCCGCGAGTCGACGGACTCGCATTCCGCCCGATGTGATTCACGCACCTAACGCGCGATCCAGGCGCCTGCTGCGACCGTGTAAATATTCGATTCGTTGCTAGGTTGTTTTCTGTGGTCGATTGAGTGTTATGGCTTTTGTTTTCTCGAGCTAGGCGATCTTGTTTCGAGCTCTCTTGCGATGGGTTCGGGCGCCCTCGTTGTTTGTCTTCCTGGTCTTCAAACCCCCTCTGAGCGGCGGCCCCCCTCGCCCACCCCGAGAGCGTTTGTGAGATCATTCCTCCTGTCTTGCTCCCGCGCGAGGCGTTCGCGAACCACCTCGTCGGCAAAAAGGTGGCACCCGATCCAGAGGAGACTGGCGCCGAGGCAAACGGACCAGTTGGCCTCACTTGGAACCGTCTGGGAGTCTGAGGTGGCCCAGCACTGGTTCCACCCAGCAGGAAGGGCGGGCAGGTTCGAGGTTCTGGGTTCGAGAAGATGGTTTGCCTTTTTCTGTCCCTGGGCGCCGTTTTCGGGCCCTAGGGCCGTAGAAAAAGCAGCCTGGTTGAAAGACTATACCAGATGGACCCCAGGAGGGGTCCGGGGGCCTATTTTGAACGGGCTTGGCTTCATTCCCCCTCCTGGCCGATTTTCTGGGGTCCCAAGCAGTTCAGACCCCCTGGCCGCCTCCAACATCCGCCTCCCTCCCTCCTTGTCGTTGTCCTCCTCCTCCTCCTCCTCCTCCTCCTCCTCCTCCTCCTCCTCCTCCTCCTCCTCCTCCTCCTCCTCCTCCTCCTCCTCCTCCGTCTCATCCTCCTCTTTCTCCTCCTCCTTCTCATCCTCGTCGTCGTCAGCATAGCCGCTTTAGTTCAGGCTCTTGCTTCGACTATGGAAACCATGAGCACTTGTTTCGCTCCTCCCATGGTGTCGGCGGCGAGATTTGATTCGTTTGTTCAGCAGCTTCGCTCAGGATTGCGTGCTGGTGTCCAATCGTCCGGGATGTCGGAGGGGAGGGGCGGAGGGCGGCGGCGGTTTAAAAATCCCACCCAAGCGACCACAGAACGCGTTCTTCCATATCTTGCTTACCTCGTTTCTGTTAAACCTTATGGCATGCAGACCTCCACCCAGCAATACCTCGCAAGTGTGGAGGGGGCGTCGTTGGCCATCAGGCTCGCGTGCTCGCACATTGCCGAGACTGCTGACTCGCCTGAGCGGTTCGAATGCCCACGCGGTTTCTTGGCTCTGGTTCTTGCCTGCCTGCCCTCGTCCTGCTCGCTCGTTCCTACTCGTTCCTCCTTCCCTGCGGTCGCATGCACGGCCAACTGTTGGTGAAGTTATTCATGCGTCTGCATGCTGTGGCAAAGACCTCTGGCAGTATCTTTGGCGATCATCACCATTAGCAGCAGCGTCGTCATCACCCTCGTCCCTATCCAACCTCCACCTCCCCCCTTCTAGGAAGGACAGGGTCCCATGGGAGCGGCACGGTTTCCTGCGAATTGAGTTTGCTTCAAAGAGGTTTCAGCATGGATCTTGGAAAGACGAGCCTCTCAACTTCCACTCCTCTCCTTCGCCGCCGAGGAGACTGGAAAGCCTGGAGAGGCCTGGGCAGTGCCATCGCCGAAGGGGGTGCCCGCCGACGTGAGCGATGATGCACAGGCCCGCCCCGGGCAGTCTACAGGGACGCGAATCGAGGGAATCAACCTTTCCATCTCTCCTCTCTCTCTTCGTCATCATCCTCCTCCCCCTCCCCCTCCTCCTCCTCCTCCCCCTCCTCCTCCTCCTCCTCCTCGTCCTCCTCGTCCTCCTCCCCCTCTTCTCGTTCTCCTCCTCTTCGTGCTCCCTGACGGCCGCACTGGGAGAGAGACGGGAGGCGACAGAGGCAGCAGGGGGGCGGGCGGGGGCACAGGGCAAGAGGAGGGTGTCCCCGATGTTCCATGGGGGTTTGAGGGCAGCGAAGTCATGGCATGCGGGGCAAAGGCCCGAGGATCCGCTCGAGAGCTGCCTCAATGCTGGCCATATGCGCCTCCAGGAGAGTCTCCAGGGCACGTTCCTTGAGCGCCTCCGTCGCCCAATTGTCCAATTGTGGGCGTGGCTTGGCGCCGCGCCGGTTAGCGCCCACAGCCCTGTCGAGTTCAGCGCTAGCGCCTACACAACTGCGTCAAGATCGGGGGGCCTCCAGACGGTGTGGTAACCACACAGGGTGGTGAGTCAGTTGGGACTCGGGGTCGCCGTACGCTTTTGGGACTCGGGTCGCTCCCCGAGAACAACTCCAGTGACGGCCTGCGCGGTGAGGTCCTGCGGGATGTCGAGGTCACCGCACGGCCCGTCACCACACGGTTTTAGGACCCCCAAGTCAAGAGGCACGGAGGGCGTCCGTTCTGGCACCTCGAGCGGGTGGGGATACACGAGTCGTTCGGCCTCATGCAGAGCCGCGAACGGCGGCCTTCTGATTGACCCCGCAATCCCGATCAATGGTAGCTGGTCAGTATGATTTCGCATGCCACTACCAGCAGTAGTAGACGTGCCCGAGCGCGATATTGTTAAGCAAGATCGGGAAACAACACGCACGCAGGGAACGTTTAGACAGTCCCTTCGATGGCGTTGCGCTTCGCGGGAGTGCGCCCCCCAAAAAAGAGTACACAAAGGTTCCGCGCGGCGCAGGTTACAAAAAATACAGCAGGACCTGACAAGCTCAGTGTCGCCCGTCTCAGTGAACGATAGGCGAGTCTGTGCCCAATCGGTTTTAATGATTGAAATTTAGCCGATGTTAATGAGCAGACCTCCCGACTCGTAGGTCCTCTCACGAAATGTGTCTGCTGGGAGTCGCCAGATAGCATCAGGCGACGCCACAGAGTGCAGAACGCGCCAGAGCATATTTTGGAAGAGCATGCGACAGCACCAAAGTATCTGGCAGACCCACCGAGACTCGAACCAACACCTCATCAGCCTCGTGACTCGGCTCTGCCCCTGCCTGGTCAGCGCTCCGGGACGACGCAGAGCGGACGCATCCGCACTGCCCAGCCGCCAAGCACGATGCCGCAGGACAATTGCCGCGCCATTTGGACAGGACGACCTCAGATGAGATGGACGGGGGCAATCGAGGGAGTCATCTGAAGCGCCATTAGAGGAGGTGCGTGCGAGCCTGTTACATTGGCGCCGCAGATGCTTGGCGGGGCAACGGTTCCGAAGATGCTGGGGTCGACCAGGGAGCTACCCAACAGAATCGCGCAGCCTCGGCCGAGAGTCCTCTTCCCCGACGACCGGGTACCGGTCAAGGGGGAGCAGGGCGAGGCAACGTGGGAGGCGGGGAGGCAGGCAGCAGGGGGCCAAGCGAAGCCAGACGATGGGCAAGGAATAGAAAAAGGACCAGTTGCAGGTGCGATGTGTATTGCACTAGAGGCCCACCGTCAAAGGGAGGGCGAGGTTTGCAACAAGAGTTCGAGGCGGCTTGGCAGAGAAGAGCAGGCAGCCCAGCAACGGGTAGCAGGGGGGAGGCATCTTGTGAGCAGATGAGGTTGGAAAGAGGGTCGAGGCGATCTGGGAGAGAAAAGGCAGACAGATCAACAGCTAGCAGCAGGGGGAAGGCACGTTGCGAGCGGGCGTGGCGGAGGGAGCCAAAGCGGAGTGCAAGGCCAAAAAGCTCGGCAGCGTAGAGGACGGCACGGCTGCGGCGAGGGCCTTAGAAGACTTGCCGGACGTGCTACAGTGGAGACCCATGCCAAGAAACACCTTGCTTGCCTCCAGGGTGCCCAGGGTTTCTTGGGTTTTGATGGTTTTGCCATGGAAAGCGTGACGCTCCCACACCAAAATCGATTGACGTCCTGGGGTCTCAGGGTCGGGCTTCTTGTGGAAGGTTTCTTGTGGTCGGGCCCCCACTTTATGGATTATTTTCCCATCGGCCCTGCCAGTGAAGTTGGCGCTGCCGATTCCAGCCTCGGTTGTGCAGGGTCTCCGTCGCTTTCTCAATGCCTGTGGTCCTCTGCTCCCCACTCACGTGTCCCCCCTCCTCCTCCTCCCCCTCCTCCTGCTCCTCCTCCTCCTCCTCCTCCTCCTCCTCCTCCTCCTCATCCTCCTCCTTCTCCTCCTCCTCCTCCTCCTCCTCCTCCTCCTCCTCCTCCTCCTCCTCCTCCTCCTCCTCCTCCTCCTCCTCTTCCTCCTCCTCCTCCTCCTCCTCCTTCCTCCTCCTCCTCCTCCTCCTCCTCCTCCTCCTCCTCCTCCTCCTCCTCCTCCTCTTCCTTCGCTTCCACCTCGATGTTGGCTACGACTTGCGGGTCACGATGACGTGCGGTGTGTAGTTCATGGTTGTGTGACCCTGGCGGATGGTTCTGGCAGGATGACGGCACTAAGTTGCCCAGCAAGTGTTCTTCCTTCAATGCTTGTTCTTTACCGCCGCTGCTTGCCGCCGCCATGTGCGTTGCCGCCGCCATGTCTCCATCTCAGCTCGGGACTTCCCCATCACAAGTGTTTTAATTATTGCCACGGGGAGCAAAAGGAGGAGGAGAAGGAGGAGAAAGCATGGGAGCGGTTGCCTTGCCTGTTTACTAGACCCCTTCATCCCCAAGCACAGAGTGGAGCGTACATCCCCCCAAAACGTTTTCTCCTCGCATCCTCTCACGATGTTTACCTAACTCCCCCCCCCCAAAAAAAAATAAAAAAGTAGCGGGCAAAATGTTGTCTCTCATTTCTTGATTTCGACGGTTGTCTTTATCTTCCGAATGCCGCTTTGGACAGTCGAGTGCAATTTGGAATCGTATGACGTAAGTGTGTTCCTCTCCTTGTAGTTGGCTTCTGCAGACCTCATTGGCACTGTCAGCCGCAAATGTGAAAATGTGGCAGCCCATCCAGCGGGCACCTGATCATCTGGTTTCGCTGCCGCCCGAATCCGCCACCGCACGAGGGGGGGGAGGGCACGGAAAGTCTGCCCCGTGGTTGTGGTTTCGGCACAATCTCGCGCGAGGGCAGCGAAAAGGTACAGCCTTACCAGCAGAAAGCTACAAGCACATTCCCCCTGTGCTACCGAAACGGCTACATATAGCAATTGCGCTAATATTGTATTAAACAAAACTTGCAAAATATATGCCTCCGGCACAGTTTCATATTGCTTGATGCACTGTAGTATACACTCATGTACTACACTTTCCAATGGTAAACAAATGCTGGACCATGTGGCAGATATGTATAGATGTATGCCTACACGCGTATACACATAGAGGCATACCTACAACAGCTTGTCATGTCGCATACATACGCAATGCTCAGAATGCCCTACCTTGCAACGCACATCTGCACACACAGGCACACGGACGTACGCGTAGCGAACTGCACGACGTCACGGGATGCCGCACTGGTGACCATACCGGAGACCCGAGATCGCATACCAGAGACCAGGCAGGAGACCAGAGACCACGAGCCAGGACCGGAGAGACCACGAGCCAGGACCACGAGCCAGGAGCCAGGACCACGAGCCAGGACTACGAAACCACGAGCCAGGACCACGAGGCCACGAGCCACCGGTTCGGGGCCGCCCACCGGCCCGAGAAGCCTTTTCGTTCCCATGCGACCCTTTTAGGCAGGGTGCTCAGGGAGAGAACGGGGACTTGGTCTAGGTATCGGGGAGCACGCCAGAGCTCGGGCTCGCCGACGCTTTTTGATGCGCCCGGCCCGGACTCGAGGTGGGTCAGCGGAATTCTTCTGCGATGCATGACGAGGAAAGGGTGGGCCGACGAATCTTTCGCCGAGGACGTCCCGAGCGGAACGCATGTGTTACATCATCAGTTGAGGATGTCTCATGTGTATCGCTCGTTTTGCACAGTTGGGGGAGGCTCGAGCGCAACGCTTGTTTCCTCGGGTCCAGGTCGCCCAGGCAGATGTATGACATAAGGACTTGTTGAGGATATCTCAAGCGAGACGCTTGTTTTCATGTGTCCAGGTCGCCCAGGGGGGTATCTAACATAATTGTCCCGAGCAAGGACCCCGTGTTTTAACGTGTCCAGGCCACCCAGTGGTGTATCTAACATGGTTGCCCAGAGCTGGATCCACGTGTTTGCACGTGTCCAGGCCACCCAGTGGGGTATCTAACATGGTTGTCCCGACCTGGAACCACATGTTTTACGTGTCCAGACCGCCCAGGGGGGTATCTAACACGGCGTCGGGCCAAGGAAGCGCACGGGGGGCCGAAAAGCGTTACCCGAACACATATCCCAATAAAGAAAGGTGATGCTTGCTTGCTCTGGACAGGGGGTGGCGCTTTGGGGGCCTCTCCAGGGAAGACGTTGCGAGGATGTCTCGAGCGGGAGCGCGACTTCAGCGTATCCAGGCCACGCAGGGGGGGTATCTGACCTGTTTGCCCCGAGCTGGAACCACGTGCTTTTACATGTCCAGGCCACCCAGGGGGATATCGAACATGGTTGTCCCGAGCTGGAACCACGTGTTTTTTTCGTGTCCAGGCCACCCATGGGGGTATCTAACATGCTTGTCCCGAGTTTGAACCACGTGTTTTTACGTCTCCAGGCCACCCAGGGGGGTATCTAACATGGTTGTCCCGAGCTTGAACCACGTGTTTTTACGTCTCCAGGCCACCCAACGGGGCATCTAACATGATTGTCCCGAGGAAGTACCACGTGTTCTTACGTGTCCAGGCTACTCAGGGGGTGTCTAACATGGTTGTCCCGAGGTTGAACCACGTGTTTTTACGTGTCCAGGCCACCCAGGGGGATATCTAACATGGTTGTCCCGAGCACGGACCATGCGTTTTAACGTGTCCAGGCCACCCAGGGGTGTATCTAACATGGTTGCCCAGAGCTGGAACCACGTGTTCTTACGTGTCCGGGCTACCCATTGAGGTATCTAACATGACTGTCCTGAATTGGAACCACGTAGTTTTACGTGTCCAGGTCGCCCAGGTTGGCATTTATGTATTGGGACATGTGTTCGGGGAGCGCTTTTCGCTTCCCCCCGCCCCCCAGGAGGCCCCAGGAGCCTCGAGAAGCATGAAAACACATGGGTTCCTAACGCCCCAGGGCGGGACAAATGTGAAAACACATGGTTCCTAACGCTCCAGGGCGGGAGATACGTGAAAATTCATGGGTTCCTAACGCCTCAGGGCGGGGCAAAGCTGAAAACACATTGGTTCCTAAAGCCCCATGGCCAGACAAGTGTGAAAACACATGGGTCCAGGCGGATGTCTAGTATGAGGATATGTCGAAACATTATTTTTCAATGTTAAGTTAAATCCTCAACAAAAGAGTGTCCCGCGTATCCCGCTAGTTCCAAAGTTCCTTATGATCCTCCACTAGAAACGTCATGCGGGCTTGCCCTCATGCGTCACCGCGCGCGATCGAATGCGAGCCGTACGGGCCAACTTGTGTGACAACATTAACACGCCGCGCATCGCGCATCGCGAGCACAGCCTGGCTCGACGGGCAAAAGACCACGCCCGATGACATCGCCCCCCCGGCGCCGCGCGCTGCGCGTCTCGCCACGCGCAGCTTCGCTCGCTGCGTCTTCGCCGTCTGCGGAAGCCGTCCTCGTCGGTGCCTGCCCGGCCTGGCTGGAGGCCCCGAGCAGGCGCGGAGGCGCCCCCGGGGCTCGCGCGCGCCTCGTCGTCCCCCGCGGGCCCCTTCGGAGCCCGCGAGCGGCCCGAGCTGCCCCACTTCTGCGCTTCCCGCGAAGTGCCCCACTGGGCCGATGGGCTGCGGCGGCCCGGATCCTGTCGCGCCTGCAGTCGCCGCCGGTTCCCTGCCTGCGCGCGCCTGCCTGTCGCCGCGGCCGCGCTGGCTGACGCGGCGGAGCGGCGCGCGCGACCAGCAGCGCCGGCCCGCGTCAGAGAAGGCACTCCTCCTCCTCCTCCTCCTCCTCCTCCTCCTCCTCCTCCTCCTCCTCCTCCTCCTCCTCCTCCTCCTCCTCCTCCTCCTCCTCCTCCTCCTCCTCCTGGCCTGGCGTATCCTGGCGTGTCCTTTCTCATCCTGGCGGCGGGTGTGGTGCCGCCGTCGGCCTCCGGGGGCCCTCGCCGGGCCTCGGGACCGTGGGAGGAGGGCCCAACGACGAAGGACCAGCCCCAGGGAGGCAGCCCCAGGATCCGGCCCGCGGCGCGATCGGATTCGATTTCTGCTGCCCGCAGGGACAGCGAGTCGTGACTTTTGGCGGCTTTTTCGGCGTTGAACGGCTCAACGCCGCTCTGCAGCGAGCTCTCGGCCCAGCCCTTGCTGACGATTCTGTCGCGCAAGAGTCCGAGCCCTGCCTTGCGTCCCGTCAGGCGGGCTTCCAAAGCCACCTGGCGACGTGCCGGGCGGCGCCCGCCGCTGCGCGCGCGCGGGCGCGGCGCGGACTTGCAGTTCAAAGCGCTTGTGGTCCACGCGCCCCGCGTATGATAACTGTTTGTTAGTAGCGGCCGCGATTGCCCGCACGTGGTAGGCGAAGTGCCACTCGGACCTTGATAACGCGCGCGGGCCCTTACCGATGCTACCCGCGGCCTCGCCGTCGTCGTCGGCGTCGTCTCCCCGTCCAGGTCGCCCAGGCAGATGTCTGCATGAGGAGCTGTTGAGAACGTCTCGAGCGAGACGCTTGTTTTCACGTGTCCCGGTGGCCCAGGCGGATGTCTAACATGAGGATGTGATGAGAACGTCTCCAGCGAAACGTTTTTTTTCAAGGGCCCAAGTCACCCAGGCGGAC